ATAGATATAAATCGAATTGATATGAATCGAATGCGTTTCATTTTTTCAAATTTCAGTATTTATATTAGGTATTGACGAAAGCGACACGCCCAAAACAGGCATCTCTTGGGGTAGGTAATTGACCTTACTGGTCTTGTCTTCGGTGAAATACCGAACCCCAATAAATTCGGTATTTCCGCCAATATCATAAATTTATGGTTGGTCGCAGATGTTTACTTAACAACTACTTTGAATTTATCCTACACTATAGACCTAATAAAATAAAATATACAGAAAAACTACTTAAGAAATATGTACAGTAATATACAAAATAACACAACACCAAACATTCCGCCCGCCTTGAAAGGATCCCCTTTCAAAATGTTATCAGTCTATTGGTAGCGGACAAATGTTTATTGCGGCACGTTTCACAACACCCTTGGTTGTTTTAACTGACACTGTACGCACTATACCATCACATCCAGGATATGTGTTGGTTATTCGCCCTAAGCACCATTGAAGAGGAGGGAGATTGTCTTCCTTTATTAAAACCAACAAACCGGGTTGCAGGTTGATTCCAGGGATTTTCCATTTGGTGCGTTGCTGCAATGACGACAAATACTCCTTCTTCCATCTTCTCCAGAAGTGTTGTCTAATCTGTTGCAGTCGTTGCCATCTGGATAATCTGTTTTCCTGTATATTTGATATGTCTGGTTCCACCGGAGCAGTAAGTGGATTGCCAATCAAAAAATGGCCAGGAGTTAAGGCATCTAATTCGTTGGATGAATTTGGTAAAGCGGTTAAGGGTCGGGAATTAAGGATGGCTTCTATTTGAGTTAATACAGTGTACATCTCTTCATAGGTCAACATAGCATTTCCAATAACGCGTTTTAGGTGATATTTTATTGATTTGACACCAGCTTCCCAGATACCGCCAAAATGCGGTGACTTGGGAGGTATAAAATGCCAATTGATAGAATCATTTGTCAGTACATCTATTACGTTTTCTTTGAATTCACTTGTTTTTAACAATTTATGTAAATTTTTTAATTCGCGGTTGGCTCCGACGAAATTAGTAGCATTGTCTGAATATATGTGCTCGATTTTACCTCGTCTAGCGATAAACCTTTTTAAAGCAGCTAAGAATGCTTCAGAAGTCAAATAGGTTACCAGTTCGATGTGCATTGCCTTAGTTGTTAAACAAATAAAGAGTGATATGTATGCCTTGGATGATTTTTTGCCTCGGCCACGACCTTCTTTTATTAATATTGGGCCAGCGTAGTCAACACCAGTGTGTATGAATGGTTTGGCTGGTACTACTCTGACCTGAGGTAGGTCAGCCATTAATTGTTGAGAATTGATGGGTTTTGATTTAAAACAGCGGACGCATTTACGNTAGCAAGGAGATCGGGCTGAAACTATAGCTACAAGCTATCCAAGGATGGTACTATAGAATGTCACCTCAAGGTAGGCCTAGTGGCGTCATCTCTTGGTTAGGCCGGAAACTTATCAATCCACCCTCGTAATCAGTCGGTATTGTTATTGAAAGACTTCAACACTATTCGTCTTGCAGTTTTTCGTTTCACATAACTCACATTCATATTGTACGGTAGCTACTTGAGTTTAAGATAAATTCTATAGTTTCGTACATTTTAGGTGATACCAACGAATGCATTGATCACAGCCAATATTCTTTTCTTCCTCTTCTTCAGTGTCACTTGTAAGGTCACTGTCGCAAGAACCGCACTTAATTCGCGTTTGAATTTCTTCTAATTTATTTTTCTTTAAAATCCTTTTATTAATCTTCGTTCTTCCCTGTAGTGCTTCTTTTTTTATCTCCCTTTCGAGTTTCCGTTTCTTTATCTTGTTTATCTTTTTATTTCTTTTCATGATATTGCTGCCAATCTTTAGAAGCTATAGCAACAACAGGAGATTTCAGGTGTGTTTAAACGGATCCTCCGTCATCACTCATACGTTTTATTGGTATTTCCGGATCTGATATATTGTTTTGTCGAATTCCATTAAAATGATCAATGTCCAACACAGAAGAGGCAATATCTGTATCAGTCTTTTTTTATAAAAGGTACGCTTTTTCACTTTTACCTTTTGTGGTGGAAGTGCATTCGGCTTCTTCCCGGTAGGTACGTGTTGCATCGACACTAGATCAGCTGAGCGACGTTAGTCGCCTAGATCCATTCCCGTAATGAAACAAATTGTACGTTCAAATTTACAAAGATGTTTTGTGAGCTGAATTGTCACTGGATTGAAAAATTCTATAACACTTTTTTGTTGTATTTTGTGTCAGGAAGCCATGGTTTCTTTTTTAATTATTATAAGTGGGACACCCTGTATGTACACAAGCTATTACAGTCGCACTCATGCACTCATGTGTACAGCATCGGCGGATAATCCATGAGTGGGACTGCAATAGACCCAGAAGTCTCTTTCTGTCCCAATGGTGCAGCAAAAGAAAAAATGTAGTTAAGCTTATATTATTTAAGTCCTCATGTATAGGCATTTTTTTGTACCTGTTTATATTAAGAAAAGGTGAGAAAATAGAGGAAAGTTTCATTTAACTTTTTTGTTCGAACAGGTATAACGAATATCTGTATAAAAAAANTTTCCTTCTTATCTATCGCATTTACCAAAAATGTACATTAGCAATTGTTTATGTATATTCTTTTTTTCTGCAACGTTTGTCTAAAACTTTTTTCGAAACTTTTTTGATTTTCAACAAAAACGCAAAAAATTATTTTGGGGTGTTTTTATTTTTTTGTTCACCACCCATTTACATTTGGGGGTAATTTTATTTGTGGAGAATGCAGAACTTTCGGAGACCTACCCTCGAAATACCAGACACTGGACTATAATACAACTCATTTCAATCGGTTATAGATATGGCCTTTCTCTTGCCTGGATGCGCCGTAACAAAATTCCAAATTCAATCATATTTTATCTCGTTCAAACTATACATATCTGTCTTGCTTATGTCTAGGGTGTATTCTTTCTATTTGTGCAGATTTTCTGAAGGTCACGACTCTTTGAAACGAGTTGTAAAAACATCCGATTCATGGGCCATATTGCGGATTAGTTCTGGCGATATTGGGAGAGTTTCAGATCTTTCGCTTCGGTAGGTAGTTTTGGAAAATTCCATTTTAACAGAAGATGGTGAAAAATGTAATTTATTTAGTTTACAATCAGGCTCCTCTATTCCATTGGGCACTCTGGGCAATTGCCCAGGGCCCCACAATCGACGGAGGCCCCCTATATAGTTCCTGCCAGATCCATCCGCCAACCAAAAGCCGATAATTATTTTAATAAAATTAATCAATAATTGTTGCATACTTGCATAATCGCTTTTGCATGCTATGAACGCGAGAATACCTAAATATAGGTGATACTTCAAACATTTATATATTCTGAAATTTTATTACTTCGAATCGCTCACCAAAGAGAAAAATACAAAATCTGACTACAAGGACTTGTCTCAAAGAATAAGACTTACCAAGTTCGCGCCAGACATTTTTTGATGACTGCACCGATAGTCCAACTGAGTTGGGAAGAGATATTAAAGTAGAAATACCTTACTTCCCATAAGTGATATCCCAAGCGTGCATCTAAAACAGCGATTGAGTTTGTACAAGGACATTGGTTATTGTTGACATTGTTTTTCGCTTGAAAACTCCAAATCCCGAGACAAAGTTGCAAAAAATTTGCTGCTATGAAGATGTTAACGAGAAAGAGTTAGAAATAGAATGTCTATATTTGGAAAACTAATAGTATTCCAGAAGTTTTGATAAAAAACCGAGTTGGAGACGCATTTCCAAATGTAGAAATTGCATTGAGAATCTTTTTAAACATGATGGTAACTAACCGCAGTGGCGAACGCTCCTTCCTTAAACGGAAAAGAATAAAAAATATACGCTTAAAGACAAACAGTTTGAACAACTGGTTGACAATTTTGCATATCTGAAAACTAGAAGGGTGCCTTTTCAAAAAACACAATTTTAAGTACCAACCTGAGAATGATATTAGAGTTAGTTTTTCGAGTCATATTACAATTGTATATTCATTTATGTGAATATAAAGAAACAAATAACAAACCAAAATGATTCTCTGTGAAAGCTGTAGGAGGCCCGGTAGGCTTATGTGCCCAGGGCCTCCAATAGGTTAAAGACGGCCCTGCATCTATTTACCTAGTCTAGGGGGTTTACCCCACGTAAGTTTTTAAATTACCAAAATCGGCATTACCGACATACTAGGCGACATACATTTTAGTTAAACAACAACAGATGATGCGACGACGGTTCTAATTACCGGCGGAATTCCCCACTAGTTATAGCGTATACAGGTAGGTGACTGTAGGTGACCTACCATCTACCATGTGATGCATTAGACCTATTACTATCTATGCCTACTACCCTAGACAATCGTGTAGAAACTGCAAAAATAAATACCTATCCTGTATAGGTACTGTTTCTGCTCTTATTACACTAACTACTTTTTAACTTTTTTTGTTAAATAAAACAAAAGTCAAGAAGAACTTNCATTAATACATTTCATTCTTTTTTTATTTAAAAATCCTGTAAACATTCAATTTATGTCAACGAATCCAATGTAAAATGTGCACAGCGCAACTAAAAGCGAGCAAAGCACGAAAGCGGTCGGAGGTGGACGAAGTTTCCGTTTAAAGGATAGTTTTCCGGGTGGCTATTACAAGCGGTTTTCTATAACGCTGCAAAATCGATGGTAGTTCGTTCTAGCTATACGCGAAAGATATTACTGTTTTTATTCCGTGTAATTTTCATGACCAATACAGAGCGGTTCCCAATAAAGTACTGTAATATGCATATTACAAACTATTATCTGATGTTAGGAGAAACATGAAATGAAACTTAATTATTTATTGCAATTATAATTAATTAGTGTGAATTATCTGACAAGTGAAAATTGAGGGAATTATTAAAGGTAGGCAGCCTACACCTACGAGCCGCCATTGATTTATTCTACATAATTCCTGTACTTTTGATTATTTAATGTTTGTACAAGAAAGTTAAAAATGTTTATTCTTGTTCTTTTGCATATTTTACAATTTGTTATTCATATATTAGATCCATGATACATACAGCATTCTGGTCATGTGAAGCGACCCGGTATGAGAATTCACATCAAATAAATTCACCGTTTTCTAGGATTGTATCAATGAATGCCAGTAGAATGTGTGGAGCGCAAAGACGCAACGTAAGTCGGCTTTGCGTCGATATAACCAGTGTTGTTCTATAACGCAACGTAGTCCGAGTTAGAACGTCGGGACAGATTTTTGCCGCAGTTAACTGCTCGTGCTCTGTGAAAGAATGTGCCACTGCGATGCCGTTGCTGCTTGTCGTCGCCGTCACATTCCTTTCTCGAGGTTGCGGCAACTCGATTGGTTATCGTACGTGACGTCATCGGTGGGTCGTTCGAGATGACAATGTGGTATGCAACATGGCCGTGTAGATCGTGGTGTTTGAGTGCGCGACGACAGTTGCTTATATTTTGCATGGATTAAGTGATTGATTATGCCAAAACGACGAAATGGTGAGATACCCCTGCCCGAAGGCTGGGATTTTGCAAGGGATTACGACGGCAAAGTGTATTTTATAGATCATAATACGAAAAAAACTACTTGGATTGACCCTAGAGACAGGTAAAGAGAAATATACATGTATACGCATTCCACAACTTATTTATGGTATTTTTTTTCTGATTTACCAAGTGTCTGGTAGATATGGATTCATAGTTGTACTGCATATTTCGTTAATCCGCTTAAAAAGTCCTTCCGTAACGTGAAAATCTCCTAGTTGTGTATGTAAAATTCTTAACGTACATACATACCTATGTATATGCGGATGTTTTATATGTACGTACATATGTAATATAATATTAAGCAGTTGGTATGTAGGCTATGTAGACAGCGACAGTCTATTATTTGTTTTCATCTTGCAAATAAAAAGTACTGTAGTAGGTACGTACACCTACACTGCTATACATACCGTAGGAATTTATTCATTTTTTAATAATGAAATAAACATATAGGTAATATTTAGATGCCTAATCCGTTTGTTAAATANACCATACGAAGTCAAAATCCCCATTGACAAACCATATCCAGTCGAAGTACCAAAGCCTGTGCCTTATCACGTAAAAGTACCAGTACCACAGCCGTACGAAGTTGAAAAGAAGGTACCAGTCGAGATTGAAAAACCAGTACCAGTGCCAGTTCATGTACCAGTCGAGAGGCCCGTGCCCATCGTGAAAGAAGTACCATATGCGGTAGAAAAAGAAATACCTTATCCAGTCAAAGTACCTGTGCACGTTCCTGTTAAGATTCCAGAACATCACCACCATCATCATTACTAACCAACGTTCTAGTACCTACTCTAGTTATATTATTATGTAAATAAATAAATTTATTGTTGCCGGTTGCCGAAGATTCGACGTATCTGTCTGAATGTAGAAATAATAAATAAATAAAGAAAACGAGTCAGACAAATACAAAGATCGGATGCGACCGCGCATAGTGAAAGCCTTGCTGTGTTACCTGCACGACTATTACATACACCTAATTATTTCCTCGATATTAAATTGCTTTATGTGCAGTATTACGTATTAAGAGAGTTACTGTGTGTTAATTTTGTCTATTTTGTAATAAATTATCTTTAAAAATAAACTGCAGCTAGTTTGACTTCTGTACTTACCTAGGAGAGCTATTTTTAATCAATCAATTAGAAAGCTAATTTAACAGGTAGATTTTCGATTCCGTACCGGCTAGCAGCTTTGCGATCTCTATCTCAAAACTGCTAACAACGAACCATCATCATCCGCGAAAGTGAAAGTTTTTTGTGTCTTCTGTCTGTCTGTCTGTTTGTCTGTGTGTAGCTTCTATTGGTTTCCTAATTGCGTCGACAATGTGCAATTAAAATCAAGAAAACGGAACATATGTCAAGCGTGGTGAATAGTGCCTGTAGTTTTTAACAGACCAGTTCTGGTCGAGAGTCCTTTTTACATAACTGTCTTCCTTTTACATAAACGTTTGTCTATTAATTACACACATATGCGTGTGAAGGAATTAGGAAATAATTATTAAGGCATTTCGAACAAATTATATCGCATACGTATAAGTAGCTAGCAGTTACATACTCACTACATTTCTAATTAATTTTACTATTTACGTAACTTGTTACAACATATGCAATACGTAGATTTATTCGAATGTGCATGTACATGCAACTAATAAGTTTAAATCGAGTGAATTGAAACACAAAATGATGAAGAGACGGCAGACCTTGATATGTCAGGTTCACTTGCAATCTGTGTTATTAAGGAAGGAGTTTGACTCTTTTTTTTATTACTTTGCCCGGGAACGTTATGCAAGGCGATGGTAGAGCAAAGAGGTGATTGTTTTGGCCTATTTTTTACGAGTTATTAAACTAAAGCAAACAAGCGACCTTTAGTTGTAATAACTATGAGTTAGAAAGCAAAATTGTTGCTTCGGTTAGCCAAATATGGAATGGATATGGATATATGAACACAATATATTTCTTCGAACCATTTTCGGTACGAAAGACCAATTAAGTGATAAAATATGTCCTTTTACGATTTCCAAAATTGACAATCGTAAATAGAAAAGTAAACAATGGAATGCAATGTTTTAGAAGTTATTTTGCTGTATAGTTCGAGAAATGCAAAAAAAAAGTAAAAAGAATCATACAAATAAACGTTGAGAATGTGTAAAATATTAAATTCGTTTTGATAATTATAAATTACGTATGCACAATCATCTAACAATAACTAACTGTTATCGAAATTAGCATACAATATGGACCTATCTCTGAATACCCAGAGGGGAGGTTGTTTAGGTACGATATCCAATGACTCGTGTAACCCTCGGGTAACAAAAGAATAGATTACGAGGGATTACATTATAAAGCACGTGCTATTATCTTGTTTATGATTCTACATCTCTACACACATTTAATAATTTCAACAACAATCCCACATAAGCCAAAATTAGCTACACAAATTTTGATTAACATGATGTTCTTATTTAAATAAACTAATTGTTTACGCCCTGTAAACGTATATTTCATGTCTCAACACCCTGTAGACATTTTTATGTCCTAGGTTACTTTAAACCTATTTATTGTCACTTGCTAAAGTTATACACCGAACGGCAGTTTTGTTTTAAGTCCTCCGAAAGTTGCATTTATTCCAGACAATTATAAATATTGTTTACGCCCTGTAAACGTATATTTCATGTCTCAACACCCTGTAGACATCTTTATGTTCTAGGTTACTTTAAACCTATTTATTGTCACTTGCTAAAGTTATACACCGAACGGTATGGCCATAAATGTAACAGCGGGAGGTCATCCGAAGGCAAGTGGTTGTGCCCCTTTTTGTAGATATTTCTATTTAGGTACCTAGATTTAAGTTCTGTATTATTCGAAGAGTGTGATTTGACACCCCGACAAGACAACCTCGAATTCTCTGTAGTCTAGTGTAGTTTTCGTTAATAAAGTAATTATTTGTTAAGTTCACTCTGCCGACTTTTATTCCGACATTCATCAACGCAAAAACAAATTATTCACCGTTCTTCTTATAATATCTTGGTCAAACTTGTCCAAGTCAGTTTTAGGACGTAGGTGTCTTATTATATTTGGGTTTCATATCTCTAACTACTTGAAATGAACTGTACTGGGAATTTGGTACTTTTTTTGTTGTTAGTATAATTGCCAATGGATAACAATTGAGAAAAATATAAGTTACAAATATTTGATGAACTTCCATCACAGTTTCAGAAATTAAAATAATTACCATATTCGTAGAAATGCACTATTGTGTGTTAATAAACATGCTTATATTGCTGACATATACTTTGCAAAAAAATAATGATTAACCTGATTGAAATGAGAGTTCGAAATTCTCATAAATAAAAAAGAAATAATAGTTATAACAAGAATATATTATAGAATAACTAGGGTTACTGAAATTATTAACGTTTAACTAACAAGGGTCCCAACAAAATAATAAAGTATTACTTTTAATATCAATAATATACAAAGGTATAAAGGTATACAATACACTTTATTTGATTTTTTTTAAAACAAGTTTAACTACTAACAGTAGATTTATTAATTAATTTATGGAAGTAGTTTCATAATGATTAAGGGTAATACTTACTTTGTAACTATTTGTGATAGTGATATCCCATACGTATTAGATTAAAATTTTGTAACTACAAGCAGACAATTATAGACAATTAATGAATAACGGAGAAGAGAAATCGTAATGGGTATTTAAATGTCTATCGATTTGTAATTATGTAAATAGATCAACGATCAACAGAAATTATCACATTAAATTGTAATATACAAAATAAAAGGTCATCCTAATAAATACAAAATGAACCTAGGAACCAGTCGATATTAATCTATTCCTGAAAAATCCAAGTTAGAACTTTGGTCTCGTTGTGTGTTCTGATGTGAGGTGGTTAAATAATAGAATGCGGAATAAACGATAACAAACTTTAATAAAACAGGAACGAAAAATGAAGACTAGGAATAAGAGTGTAGAATGGTGAAATTGAAATTAGGAAGGATTGAGAAGAGATTGTAAAAAGGGTTATAAAGAGGAGTTAGAAATAAGTTAATTAAAGTAGGGAACCAATAAGATACTAGTAAAATCTGGAAATGTAGTTTAGAAGAAATACTGAGAAGTTAAGTTTGAACCCAAATCACCGAAGAAACTGACCATAAAACTGCAATTAGGAAAAGTAAGGATTATAGACGTCATGCAGTTAGTATACAGAGTTGAATTGTTAAAAGGGATGATAGGAAAGTACGTAGGCAATTAAATAGTCGTTTAGCTGAAGAATAGGTATAGAG